TCGCTAGGTTAAGTGAGGTGATCTCTCGGGGGTAAATTCCTCTGTTTTTGAGCCTAATGGCTCCCCTGTATTTGGCGCAGCTTGCGCCTTGGTTGAAATCCACTTTTCAAGTGGGACCGTTGCTTTGGTGGAGTAATCTGTGGGAACCCTGGGGGAAAACACCACTGATTAGTATGGTTTGCATGTTCTCATGCTGCGAATTTTGATATAGGAGGTCATTCTCCTGTTTTGGCCTTGATATTGATTATGGCCCTGATCCTTGATCCTTCGATCGAGATCGGTTGGTTCTGTACCAGCCAAGGATGACGTCTTGGTCTGGTCTTTGCGGCTGTTCTCAGCTAGCGATCTTTGATGAGGTAGTTCTCAATTGTTGAAGGAATGCTATCAGGTCAGTCTCTGATGGCAGTGATGGTCCTCCTTGGATTATCGATCCCTGACTTGGATTGGACAAGGCTTGTCTCGTATCGATGACCCTCTCATTGGGCGATATCGGAGACCCTTGCCATTGCTGGGTTAGGTGAGGTGATCCCTTGGGGAGAAATTCCTTCGTTTGTGTTCTTGTTGGTGCTCCATCTATGGCAGAGGTCGGTCTCTCTTCCTTGGTAGGTTGTGCATGGGCACCGATTATCTGCAACTGTTGCTGATAAGTAACGGTTGACTTTTCTCAGTCGTTGGTCGTGTTCCGAGGTGGTTCTCGTGAAGATCTGTGGAACCCGAATGTAGAGTGCGTTTAAACTCTGGGATCTTTGGTTCTTCGAGGTCACATGCCATCCCAACCCTCATGTGGGTGGCGTTGATCTGTCTTCGTCATAAATATGGAATGTCCTTGGACAGCCGATTTTTACGAGGTTTACTCCTCAGTTGGAAATCTGGATAGATTTCCGGTCTATTGGTTGTGTGGCTACCATAGCCTCGCATTTGCTGATGAAAGGCTTTTACAGCCTTGCATGTCCCTGCGAAAGGGGAATAAATACGGTTGTGTGGTTAACAGTCACGAGCAGAGTGTCGGTTACTGTTGGGGTGCTCATCGCGCTCATTCTTGGAGCATAGCTAGTCTTGAATAGAAACGTAGTCCTTTGAAGCAGTCAGCTCAAGGGGAGTATCAGCTCCCCGAGGACTTACTCCTTAGAGACTCCTCCTGTTCGATCGTAGGTGTCGCTCGAAGGTTGTTGTTCTCCGAGAGAATTATTATGGCCTATAATTCCCAGGTATGCTTCTCGTAATGGCCTATGTCCTTTGGCATTTTAGATGCTGGTAGGGACATGGCCATGATGATAGGAGTAGTGGGCATCATCGGACTCTGGATCGTTGCCCAAGTTTGTTAGGGCTTTGTTCCAGGTTCCCGAGGGTGTTCCCACTTTGGTGTGGGTTGTATGGCTTCCACAGCCTCGTATTTCCCAGCAAAAGGGATTGGCAGTACCCATAGATTGGGGTCCAATAACTCTGTTTAATTAATTGGAGACGGATAGGGCGTGTCCAGCTATAGAATAATGGTTGACTGTTCTCAGTCAGCGATCTTTGAACGAGGTAGTTCTCGTTGATTTTTTGTGAAGGTTTTGTCCATCCCCTGTTGATCGGGATGAAAGGGTTTTATCATCCTTTGACTTGGTTATTCCGGAGGGTTCCTCGACGTTTAACGATAATTTGTTTTTCTCGTCGCAGTGGAGCCCTCTGGTTTAGCCGTTTGATTTCTTCGAAGGTTTTCTCCTCCTCTATGGTTCGTAGCTTTTGGTTTTTAAAGGTTTCCTTCCTTCCCTGTGTTTCTGAACGAAAGGGATTTATTGTTCAATAGTTGAGCCAATGGCTCTTGATTATTTGGCCTCTGCATCAATTTGATCATGGCCCTGACTGTCGATCCTTTGATCAGGATTGATTAATCAATCCCTGATCTTTGGGAGTGTAGTTTAACATGGTGGCATCTTGAAGTTTTGACTATGGCGTATGCTAAGGTTGTTTGTTCACCCGTAGGGCTCCAATCTGGTGCTGATATTCAGCGACTCAGATGCAAGGAGTGGGTCGCCAACCAATCCTTTAGCATGGCTCTGTAGTGAGGGAACTTGGTGTCGTTTATTGGTCTGCTACCTTCCAAAGTTCATCGGGGTAGGAATGCAGGGGATTGGGATGATTGTTACTATCCCAATTCTTCAGTATTGCTCCTATATGGCGGTGGTACGATCCATTTAAGGTAGTTATTATGGCCAATAACTCCCTTTTTGAGTACTATTCGTGCTAACCGATGATGGTGGGGTACAGACCACTTCATACGTGAGTTCTGATTTTCATGTTTTGCGGGTCCACCGGTCAATCGGTTAGGATAGGATTTTTATGGATTTTCTCTAATGGCAGGTTGTTTAGGCTGTGCATTAATCGCCTAAATTTCCTGTTCATCAAGGGTATATCCACAGTAATTGGGTTTTTGCGACCTCGGATATTAAGGCGCATGGCCCTTCATGTCCACATTAGCGTATAGGGTGTTTTTGGTCTTTCTCATCGGGGAGGTTTCATGGGTGAGTCGCCTCTCCTCTTTACCGGCTGTTTTAACAGTCACGAGTAGGGTGTCGGTTACTGTTTTTAACAGGGTTTGTAGAGTTTGAGCATTACTCCTACACTTCATGAGTTCCTCCTCTTGGATGAGTTTAACCAGAACTTCTTGAGTCCGAAGGGTACTCCTCCGATGAGTATTCGAGGTTTCCCTCTTTCAGCATCGGGGACTTCCCCCTGTCACTGTTCGCTGCAGGTTTTGTGGCCTGTTGTGCTTCTGCAGTTACTTAGCTTCCTGCCTGTTCGCTTGCACTACTAAGGTCTTTCCCACTCGGGGATGGCCCGCACAGTCCAGGTTTTTAAGAGTCCTGTAAACTCTTTTGGTAACTGTTAATTAACTGAAGGGCCTCGGAAAATGAGCACCAACTAACTGTTGAGTTGGTGTTCATTTTCCGGTACTCCTCGTTGTTAGGTACTTTAACGATAGTTACCTGTTTTATTGACTTGGCTACCTCGAGGGAGAACCGACTCCCGAGGGTTTACTACCCAGAGACTTCTTGTCCTTGTCTCTGCCTCGAGCAGTATGGCTTTCGCCCTGCGAGGTCTTTAGTCTTGAGGGGTCCTTACCCCGATCCTTGACCCCAGGCGGTACACTCGGTAACCCTTCGTGGGCGCACACATATTGGCTCATCAGGGGTTCCGAGGGATTCCCCCTGATTCCTCGCCACAGCTGCTTTTCCATCGCGAGCCGCTGCTACAATTGGGGTAGGAGCGGCGGCCCGGGTTATCGGCCGATGTCCTTTGCCAGGATGGCTGGGCGCAGCCTGTCCCTGGTGCGGGGGCCTCTCCATTGCATCCGGAACTTTCCCTGCACCAAGGGGCCTTGATGGTTACCGCTCGGGGTGATGGCATTTGGTCACCGGACCGCTATGGGTCCTAAGCGGGAGTTGGTCGCTCTTGCTCTTACTCCCGGGGACGATGGGAGTTACTGTCAAACCTTTGGAGCTCTGTTACGCTACAGGCCCCCATTGCCCTGCGGCATGGACCTCCGCTTTTCTGAGGGGTTCCCCGCCATCACAGAGGGGCCTACTCATTCTTGATCCTCCGCCGCCAGCAGCAACGGTTCGCTTGCTCGTTTCTGAGGTTGCGCATGAGTCGCGCTTTTCCGAGAGTCCGGCCCCAGTTCGGCCTTCATTTTGACCTCTCGTGTCATCAGCGCCACTGCAAGGCGGCATGTCCTGACGGTTGGGGTTCATTGCCGATTTGGCAGCGGGGGTTATCCCTCGTACCCCATGTCGTCCAGTGGGATTAGAAGTGCTTGTTTTGTTCGAGGGATCCTCTTTTTGTGTTTTAACGCATTGCTTCCTTCCAGATTGGTTGCATTGGTATACGAGAGGCATCCCAATGTATATGACTTTGCTCCCGCACCCTACTGGATGTGCCGCGGTCAGCTTCTTTTAAGAAGCATGACTTGGTAGAAGAGGGTCGGGCCCATAGAAGTATGATCGGATCTATTGGGCCATCAAACAGATCATCAGACAAGGGTGATGATGATGCGGTGTGATCAGTGGGATTAAGCGGATCATGGATGACGTGAATAATCTTGTTTAGATCCACACTGCCATTCCAGATCTGTCTGTAATGATACTTCGCAGTGGTGTATAGCCTCTTCGTCGTTTGTGGAGATTCCAACTCGCATGGATGGGTTTCTGTCGAGTTGACCAGATTGGTCATAACTCTTGACTGTCAACCTTTCGAGGTTGATCAGTCCTGCAATCTGGGAATCCAACATTCCCTACGGCAGAGGTCGGTCTCTCCGCCTTGGTAGGTTGATTAGGATTTCCAGTCAATTCCTGATGGATCACCAGTTTTCTCATCCTGGTGCCATCCAGAGTTCGTCGATGGTGATATAGAGCCGTGGCTTTCTTGGTTTTGTCACTTGGGGTGCACAACATATCCTTTGCGACGCGATGGTGTGAGGGGTAGTCCTAGAGTTTGACTAGTGTTCCCTCCCGTTTGGGTTCGACGTTTGTTTTTAAAGGTTGTCTCCTTCCCTGTTTTCTTAGAACAAAAGGGATTTATTGTCCGTATTGGTACCTACAAACATAATTTCTGAGTACAAATTTATTGAGTAGGGGTTTACCTGAAGAAAATTGAGTCCTGTTGTACAAGGGCAAATTGCCTGGTCCGTCGTCGACTCCTTTCTTTCTGCTGATATCGCACTATTGCTGGTCGACCTAGGCAGGCTTGCCTAGTCCTTTGTCGACGCCTCCCCCTCAGCATTTGTTGTTGAGGGGCCTTGCTCTGCTTGAAGCAGAGCGCCATTGGGACCTGTCAGATGGGCATTTATTATCCCGTCTTGTATGTCCAGGGAATCCACAGCGAAGACATTGTCCTTCCGTGGATTCCATTTGTTGTCGTCGCATGAAGTGGGTTCTCCGCCCTTCAGCGTTCTTGGTGAGCCACTTCTTTTGTGGGTTGCATTCACGACTCTTCGCCCAGTGCCCGATGTGTCCACATCAGAAACACCGCTTCTCTCGCTTGAGACGATCCATGTCCATTTCTTCATCTGTTTCTCCAGGGCGTGACGTGCCTCTGTATTGGGAAAGAGAGGAAGCTCTCTTTCCTAGTTCGGGGTCCGGAGATGTGGTCCAAAACACCTCAGTTGGTAGGTGTGGTTTGGTCCAGTCTCCCCCCGGTTTCTTGGTATTGAAGATGTCTTCAGTGCTGAAGTTCAGCACCAAAGACATGGATGGTTTCGTCCGCGTCAGAGGAGGTGTCGGTGGAGGTACCACTATCTTTACTTTCTTCTTCTTCCTCTGGGATCGTTCGGTATTCTTCCCCGATGCTGATAGGGGTCGAGAGCGAGTCCCATAAGTCTCCGTGAACATCCATTCGGGCCATGGGGTTGGGCCATATGGCCCCGTAGGAGGTGTTTGGCCAGGGGGAGTTCCAACCGTCCCCGGCAATGGAGTGCCAGATGTCGTTGGCGGTTGATTCAGAGGATATTGGGGGTAAGTCCCAGGATCCCTCTTCGGGGGTGATCCAGGTCTCCACTGGAATGAGCGATCCCCAATCCAGTATCCCTTTTTCCTCGGCCACTCCTCTTTCTTTCCTGGCCAATTGACGGATTCTTCGTGCAAGTTGTAGAGTGATTTGGTGATACCTTTGATATACCCGGCTACAGATGCAAGTGGATCTCTTTGAGGCGACTTCAGATTCGAGCCGGATGACTTCTGTCTCATAGAAGGAGCCAGTGTCTGGGCTCCAACTGGAGACGTCTCCCTCGAGGTGTGAGTCTGGTAATTGATTTCCTGACTCTGTGTGGACTCCCCATGCCTCTCTTGGAGTTCCGGTGGAGGAGTAGATCCCCCCGTCGAGCTCTGAGGCGTGGAGCATTGGTCCGGCCTCTCCGAATGACCCTGGAGATTCATCTCTTCGATATCCTCCTGCATCCGTTCTTTCAACTGTGGTTTGTCCACCTTCTCGATCAACTCCCCGGGTAGGGAGGAAAGAGTTGTCGATTCCTTCGAAGGTGGTTCTTTGCCACTCTGTTTCTTTTGTCACATGTCCCTTGCCACCATTGCTTCTACTACCTTCTTCCAGAGTTCGTTCCTCGATGAGTCAGTTGTACTCGTCGGTGTAGAACTGCTGGTCGTCGAAGGTGCTGAGGGTAGTGGGGTCATCCCAAGATCCTTTGGTACCTTCCCAATATCCTGCTGCAAATTGCGGACTTCGGGGGTATTGGGCCTGGAGGTTGTCTCCGGCGTTGGGGCGAATGGGAGCTGATCCATCTCGTGTTTGTGGATAGGATCGAGTGCTTTGGTGCAAGGCGTGCTTTACTAAAGATAGTAAAGTTTCCAGGGTGGGGGTACGGCTTGTGATATAGCCTATTGGATTCATACAGTCACTGTCGTTGGACGATGATGCGAGTATGAAATATTTCTGTAGGGGTGAGCAGCCCTGAGGATTCATCGTATGATGACAAGGGTTCCTTTTGAATGCTCCGGATGCTGCAGTCGTTCTGTTAATGAAGACGACGAGGGCAGTTGGGGTAGAGCTCATTACTCGCTCACTAATAGGGTAGTGAGGGTCAGCGCTCTTTGTGGGGTGTAGCTTTATAGAAGGGTTGCTGCTGATGAGCTTGTGTCGGCAATCAGGCAAGACAATACGGTCACCGTTGTTCAATCAACGATGAGGGTATTAATACAAGCTTCGGCTAATTGTAATGCACTAACTTGGATTGAACAACGGTTGCCTCTAAACTGTCACTCGCATTTGGTGATTCAGTTGTGAAGAGGGCGTTGCAATCGCTCAGTAAGGTATGGTAGTCCTTAAGCACGAAACAGGGAGTTTCTGCGTGAAAAGTTAGGAGTGTATAACTTTAGCCGAAGCTGGGGTGTAAGACCACAGCAAGGCTCATTTAAATACATTGTGGTATTTACTAGTATGTACCTGCTCCTGTGTCTCGGTGCATGCTGTCCCAATGCAATGCTGTCTTCTATGTCCTCTGTATCGTATGGTGTTTGGTATAGGAGAAGCCCTCCTGCGAGTAGGAAGACTTGCGTCCATAGGGCGCGGTCTTCTGAAGAGCGTACGTGGCGGCTTGTCCATCCTAGGGTGTGATCACAGACGACCTAAAGAAGCTGTGACTGGGTGAAGAAGGATCCGGCCCATAGAGTGTGATCAGTCTATGGGCCATCAAACGGATCATGCATGTGAGCGGTAGATCCAGGGACCTATCAGGGAGAACTGATGGTTGTGTTGTGGCAATGCTCCAGTGATGCGGTATGAGCATGACCACACTAGAAGTGCTCCTGCGAGTAAGAAGGGCATTGTTCGTATGGTGCTGCCTCCCACCTTGTGTGGCTGCAGAGCCCATGACCGAGTCCCAGTGATGTGGTCCCTGGCACGAGGTAATGCCGTGTGGGCGATGTGACTGAGCAGGTCATGAATGATGCGAATCAGGTACGAGGAATGATGACGAGAGTCAAATGACGAGTTGCTGACTTGCCGCGATAAGATATCGTGATAAGATAAGATAAGTGAAAAATAGGGGTGAATTCATGACAATATCTTGAAGAGCGCAAGACATCTTTTAATTCTTTTGTTATTGTGTGCTTGCATCACACATCTCCCCTGAACTACTGAGATTCTGTGTGTGTGTGAGTGTGAGAGTGGGTGTGTTTAGTGTGTCTATGCTATCACATTTCGAGCTTGGCATGCACAGAGCCTCTTCAGCTTACAATATGATATGACTTGGATCATGTCCAACCAAGGAAAAGCATATAGCACCGCATCTTTAAGTTCAGATATTGAGGATAAAATCCTCCATACTGAAACCTGGTATCACGCCACCATCAACTAGAATATGATACACTCTGACCAACCCATAGCACCTGGAAGATGCTATGGGAAGGAGTTCTTTCCTGACTTGGGATCCCCAAAAATAGTGGGACCAGATATACCAATCCCTGACCCCACCTGGGTACCATTAAATACCCTAGAGATTGAAGCGGCAGGAGGAGGAACCTTCCACACCCGCAGTATGGGTGGGGATCCCACACAATCAGCATCTACAGGGGGAACAAGTGGGCTGCCATCAGCTGCATCTGAAGGAGGTGGTGGTGGCCCAGGAGGACCAGGAGGACCAGGAGGTGGAGGTGGAGGCAGCAGAGGTGGACCCCCACCAGTACTCCCTCAACCTCCAGCACAACCACCATCACCCTGTAGTGATCAAAATCTTCGATCGCTACCTCACCCTAAAAATCCCCCTTTGCTGCCTGACCCACTGGGTGGCTGAGCAATTGCCGATGGACAACCGAACCCCTGGAGAAACGTGAAGCCAACATTGATCAAGGTCCCTGACAAGTTCTATGGGAAGGCCAGTGACCTAGATTGCTTCTTCACCCACTGCAAATACTACTTTGAGACCTTTTCCCAGTACTTCACACTCAATGAAGCACACAGATATGGCCCAAGTCAAGTAGTCTTTGCAGCTCACCACTTTGGCAGAGAAGCAATGAGCTGGTGGATCCATCAGCAACAACATTACAAGGATCCACACAGTGGAAGACATCATGTTCCCACTTGGGAAACCTTCCAGGAAAATGTCCAAACATGTTTCAAGGAAGTAGTAGAGGTCCAAATCAAGCAAATGCAATGGAAGAAACTGCAGCAATTGCAGTTTAAGATGGCCATCAAATTCTTCGAGAAGTTTGAACAAATGGCCATGGAAGCTGAATGCTTCCACAATGATGAGGAAATGGAGGAAGTTGTCACCCTCACAATATGGCCTAATATCAAGCAGATTATTATGGCTAGAGATAATATGCAGCCTACCACCTACTGGGAGTGGAGGTGAAGAGTCTTGCAGATGGACGAGAACTATCAAGTTCATGTCACACAAGGTGGGAGATATCCCAGCAGTACCACTGGCTCCAAGCCTGGAGCAGCGGGGGGTTCTTCGAATAGCTCAAAGAGCAGAAGGGATGCCACCAGATTCACCTACAGCAGTGAAGGTGAACCTATGGACATCGATCGTCTCAAAAGAGAAAAGCAATGCTTCTGGTGTGGACACACTGGACACATGGGGCAAGACAATAAGTGCTCACCTGACAAGTCGAAGTGGCTAAAGTTTCCAAGTAAAAAGCCATTGACTTTTGCAACTCATCTCAGAGCCATCCTAGCAGAAATAGAGGAAGAAGACCTTGCTAGCTTGACAATGGTCGAGGAGATAAAAGAGATGCCGGTGTTGTGACTGCAGCCTACTTATGCATGGAATTTTGCAATCTGGCATGTTTTACACACACACAGAAATATAGTGAGTGAGCAGACTAAAATGACATGTCGACACTAACGCTATGTAGTGCAATGATGCAGAATATAACTTATGGCATAAGAAGCAATGGGCATGTATAATGAGAAGGCTGAACCCTATACCCAGTGCACTATGCTCTAACTTACAAGCATGCTTATGGGAGTTAGATGACACTCCGAAAGTTGCATTAACACTGAAAGTACTTAGCATGCTCACTAACTATGATGTGCTGTACCTGAAAATCTGGGGAAATCCTTACATGAGATGACAGATATCACCAGAGCAAACTGGGACAGTGGGTCTTGGCTGAAGTCCGCAAGCCCATGTTCCATTGTCCAGAGTCCCATTGTTCAAAGACTCACTTGTTGCCATGTCGATGAAAAGCCTCTGTGAATCTAAGAAAGAAGTACTGAAGGACATATGTCAGAATTGATAGTTCCATATGCCTAGACCTGTCAGTCATCAGAGAGCAAGCCTGTGGGTGTCGGGAGAGCACCTCTTGGCATGCGTTTAGTGAGCTCACTATAGAAATGAGACTAAAACTGGAAAGTCTGACTCAGATGCTCAGTAAGGCGATGGTGGCAATGTGCTATGCATGTAGGGGTCTGGATACTGTGTGACATTTGTAATTCTAAATTCCCTATAGTATAAGTAGGACGGTTCTAGTAGATAGAAGCCAAGTTTCGAGCCTCCAAGTTCCTGTGCACACGTTGAAGGTAGTACTGTAACAAAGGATCAGTTTGTGACTTCGAGCTTTGCATAGAATTAGCGAGCTCACTCAGAGAAATACAAGATACCCTTTTGATAAGACTTTTGAGAACTTAGTCAGAGTGAATACGAATCAGTGATGCTGTTTCTGTTCTGTTAAGTGTGATAAGTCTGTTCAGAGAATGTGTTGAAGTGGAAATCTGAGATCTGTTCTGTTCTGTTCTGTTTCAGTCTGTTCCATGTCAGTTCTGCTCAAAGTTCTGTTTCTGAATCTGTTTCTGAGCACTTCTGAAGTGTTCTTGAGTTGAGATAACCTGCTGGAGTTAGTTGGAGAACCCCTACATACAGTTGTGTAGTGAGCAGGCTAAGTCAGTGCTTGCCTGTGGTGTTCTTTTAGCAAGCTCACTATTGTTTCAATGTGTATCATCTCTGTTTCTGTTGGGATCAGTGTCCCTTGTGTATTTTAACTTGAATCTGCCTTGAAGGTTGCATCATGCCAGTGAATGACCTTCCTGTAAAAAGTTCCTAGACTTAGGAATTCATTAGAGAAAGCTTAGCTTTGCTAAGAGCATCAAGAATAAGAGAAACTCTTCAAGATATTGAAGTATAGTTAGATCACATTAGAAATAATCGCTCCCCCTAGAACTTATGAGGATGATTGTAGTTTGTGTAGTTGTATGTATGTGTGTGTGTAGATTTTTGAGGTTCGCCTTTTAGCCCGCTCACTATTCCACAGATGCCCACAGCCAGCCTCTTCACCAGCATAGGACTTAGCAATTCTACTTCATCAGCTGGGGTTTATCATGGTGTGCCTTATGACACAAATATTCATACTTATGCTGTATCTGTAGATACTTGTAAAAATATATCACATTCATCATGTATTATGAAGGAATCGCAAAACAGAAACGGTGTAGCAGGGGATTACCACTGCCCATCAGGCAATAAACCCCAAGGGTCGGGCATGAAAGGGTCGGACCCGACTAGCAGCTTGAGGCTGTACCAGTGTGAGACGGATCTCGATCAACTGATTGAGGATCCAGAAGCAACTCTCAATCATTCGATCAAGAATCCTGACAGGGTTCTCAATCAACAGATCAAGAGTCCAGGTACGACTAGGAATGAAGCCCAGGACCAATGGGACTCCTCATGCCTGCCACC